CGTGGCAAGGCTAAATCTGCGAGGAGCAATCTCATAACCCTAAAATCAGAATACGAATTGATAGGTATCTCTTTAAGATGTGAAAAACGCGATGTGTCTTGTTGAACCTAAAATTTACGTTGATTCTAAGTTTTTAAGTCAAAAATACGTGAGTGCTTTTCAAGTTTTCACAGAATGAAAAGAAAAAGAAAAAAATAGTCAACTGAAGATCCGATATCTTCTTTTGTAGAAATCGTCAAGTCATCCGAAAAAAATATCGAACTTCTTTCTTGAACAGTTATAAAATACAACAGCGCCTACCTTAGATCTACGAATAATTTTCTCGAAAAACTCAAGTCTATCAATTTCGACCTCATCTCAGCTAAAAACTATCGTCAGAAAATTTTCGTCCAAGCTTAAGCGCTGCTTCATAGATCACATCATATTTTGCGAAATTTCATGTTTCAGCAAAGAATGAACATGAAGCAAGCAAAAGTAACGTGGCAGTACAGCTCCTACAGAAACTAACAAATCTCTTTAAATAAAATATTTTTCGATACTTTTGAACTCTGGAGTAAATGCTGGCCACCTGTGACGATAAAAATACTCTAGAATAACGAGGAATCTGACTTTAAATAACTCATATAAATTATGTTGAGACATTTCATTGTACGTGCGTAAAAAGGCGAGTTAGATCCACTCTCTATCTCTACCAAAAAGTTAACATTTAAGCATTATTAAGAACCTTCGAGCTCGCTTTATTTACTATTCTCCCTAAAACGAACCAGGAGCATTACGATTTAGGACCAATGCTCTCATTATTGTCATTGATGTATTGTTATATCAGTTGATTTCCTCATTTTCATTGGATTTATCAACGAAAGGAGGCCAAAAATATATTCAGTACCTCCAAGAAACTGGGCAATTTTCAAACTTGAACTGTCAACAGGCCTAGTCCGCATTCCACTGCGCACCATATTGTAAACTTCGATCCCTCATTTTCTCCTCGAGTGCGTAACATCTGTAATGTCCCTGAATATTGGCTGTAAAACTAGCTTTAAAGAAATCATATTGAAAATTGTTCACCAGCCTTCATTCTTGATTCCGCTACACCTATCCGAAAAAAATGAATAATTTTTCTCGTATACCAGCAACACTGCTACAAAGCAATGCTAATAAGCCGCGTTTTACTTGCTAGCAACGCTAGCGCGAGGCATGATTAATGCTGGAAACGGAAATTACATCACGCGAGAGGCGAATTTTCGACACGAATACATGTTTTTTTCCTGAAAAGATGGCATCTCGTAGCAATTTTAAAAGAACAACATTATTCGAACCACAACACTGCGCTCAATGTCGATCACCTCTGCTTGCATTTAATTCGACCTTTGATATCGGGAACTTTTTTAAAACGCGATTCATCCATGAGCGGATACAGTTACTGCGAACGAAAGGGATAATTTTTTTTTTTAAACGCCAACATTTTTCGTTTCACCCCTTCGTCACCCGTCATGTTTGTTTAACCTTCCACCGATTAAATTAACAAAACTTTGCCTCAATTTTCGGCATATTTGGGAAAAGGTTTATCCCGATCAGTTTTTGCGAAGGTTCACTGAAAAAAAACCTGGTACATTTTACAGTGCTCTGACACAGTGATGCGATTATGGTAATAAACACCAGAATCTTTGGTAGCATTTATCATATTATGGTAAGAATCATCAGAGTTCTGGTGAATTCTACTATAATTTTAGTTAAGTTCACTAAATAGTATCATTGTGCAAAAAATCAAGTAGACTCATAGTAAATGTTAGGTCATACTTTTTTCAATATTAAGTTTCTGCAACTAGGAAATATTCGATTCGTTAATTGAGGATAATTGGACCGCATTGAACAGAAAGGAGCCACGCCACATCAGCTATTGTCAAATTTAATTGGGCATGCATTTTAATTTTTTACACAAAAACTGTTGTGGTGATTTTCGTGCAAATTTCAGTGAGTTTTCTGCATGAAATTCGTAACGGAGTGATACCTTCTCACAATCAATAATACGATTTTTTTGACGGATGTGCAGATGGATGAATCATCGGACTGTCGCATCTTTGAAACAGCAGTTCAGACGTTCGGTGTCAGTTATCTGTAAGAAGAGATCAGAAGTCTCTGAGTCTGAGTCTGATGTAATAATTCGTACTTTTGAATAAGCAAAATAAACGGTATTTGATACAATCTAATTTGAAAACAAAATTAATAATTACAGGCCTGTTTTACAGCTCATACAATCTTTTGCGATGAATCGTATTCGCCGTCGGCCAGAGCTCCCGCTGTACAAAAATCGTTCCGGATATTAAAGCATCCTGAGTATCTCGCCGAATTCTCAGAAAATTGAAATATGAACTTGGGAGAGTCTGCAGATAAAGAAGCTGAGCCCTTAACTCTGCGGCCGGACCGGATGTCTCCGTTTCACAAACTTATCAGTCTCTCGCTCGGTAAAGCATGCGCCCCTTTCAATTTTATGACTCTCGTCTGGACAGCTGGTTCCAAGCTGAGCAATTGGAGTCGAATATCGAAAGTCGTGGGAAAAAATTATTGTAGTGAGTAAAACCGAGATTGGCACGGATACGTCATAACAAGACCACCAACTTCGCGTACTTTCATTGTACTGTATGTCGACGGCTTAAATCGAGAAGTTTCAAAATCTTTGAGAAGCCCGTTAGGTCGGGCGAAGTTTTCGGTGTAAAATCCAACTTCATTGGCCAATAAAAGGTAAGTAACTGAAAGAACTCCTTAGAATTTTTGTGGGCCCTCTTATTGAGTAATATACCAATGATGATGCAATATTATATTAGCCAATTGTATGGATGTCACTAGTTCACTTACATGCTAACTTTCAAAATTGATATCAACGCAACTTGCCCTGGCGATAACGAAAAATCTCCCCAGGGGTCACACGCCTTTTTGAAGCATGCATATGCACGCAAAAGACGGCAAATGTTGATTGCTCAAAGGAATGAGGAAAAGTTTTTAAAATTTATTATGATGATGATAATTGATTTTTTTTTCTTTTATTTATTTCCTTCTGCCCCCCTCATATAATCTTTTTCTTTCTAGCGCTTAAAAATCTCTCTCTTTGGGCGAACTTGGTTTGGGCCTGTCTACAATGAGCCCCCCTCCCCCAAAAGCCTTTTTTGTGAGGGATTTTTAATCGAAAGTAAATATTAAAAAAAAAAAAAAAAAAAAAAAAAAAAAAAAAAAAAAAAAAAAAAAAAAAAAAAAAAAAAAGTGCATTTGGACTAAGTTTATCAGAAAGGAACCAACCCACATAAAGTTGAAACTGAGAAAAAGAGGTTTGAAGTTTTATTCATCCATAAGGCTCAATGTGGAAAATAAACTTTAATCCCTCTTTTCACAAGCTAATTTCATGTTTTCTACATTCAGATTTGAGCAGGAGGAAGTAAACAATTAGTAAAACTCAAAAAAATTCTCGACTCAATTTCTTCAAAAATAAGGGTTGGTTCCTTACTGATGGACTCCAATTGATAAGCTGAATAGAGCTATATCAAGGATGCTGTTGACAGTTTCCTACTTTAATAATTCTTTGCAAAATACAAAAAAGTATAGGTCTCTAATACTGCGCAACCAAGTTGCCTATTGGATGGAAGACGGAGAAATCATTCAACCGAATTTGATATAGTGTAACAGAAGAAAACAAGGGAGCTTGATTGGGACAGATTTACTTTCCCAAGTTAGCAATATTTCTTACTTTACTCGGGAGCATATTAATTTCCCTTTCTAACTTTTGGTAGAAGTCAACTCTTGTTAGCAACTCTATCAGCTATTTTATGAACCCATGTAGCAAATTGCATTCTTAAACTGGGCCCAAGTCATCCGCAAAATGAATTCTTACTGCTTGATATCCACGACATCCCTTTGGCGCCAAAAAATCGTCAATTCCCGGGCGAAGGGAGTAACTCTATTCCAAGGTTGCAAAATTGACTCAAACAGTTCAATTTTTTACACGAATGTAGCTGTGCGCAATTTTAGTCTAGGTAAAAGTCTGATTTTTGCGTGAGATCAGAAAAAAAATCGGTGAAATTTCCAGTTAGAAATTTCCATGATTATCTTGGTGAAAGTGCAATTTCCAAGAGGATTTTTGGCAGCATTGAAATTTACTTACGTTCTTTCGCAGGGGAAACGACGAAATAACCCCCAACTTTCCTCTTAGATTCCTCAGCAAAAATTATAAAATCCTACGGAGATGTATTGCGATGATGAATGTTAAGTGCCATCCGTAAATTACGAAAGGCATTTTTTCCCATATTAGACCCCCCTC